TGACGTCTATCTTAATCTGGTGCTGCAGCATCCAATCTTCGACCACCAGGAGTTCACCCCCTTGCCCTTCTACCAAAAATGCGTCAGCTTGTATTCTCTGGTGGTATTGGGTAGTGCCCACGAATCTCCAAACTCCCAGGACTCGACTGAGGCCTCCGCCAAATCCTTCCACAATATCGACTGGAGCGTTTCGCGTAATGCATCGTAGGTATTTCTTCAGTCCCTCACCAGATACACTGTATTGAGCGCAGCTGTCAAGTCGATCTTTTTGCGTTTGCCTCCGTGTCAGCGCCAACAATGCCGTAGGCAAGCAGCTCAGTTCGTCACTTCCGACTGCATGGGGCGACTCACTACTTGCTTGCCATTGGTGTCATCGCTCAGCTCAACATCACCATAGCCCCACGCTGCTTGTACTCGTACGGGGCCCGTGACTTCTTCTGAGACGGAAGAGAAGGGCTGGGCATGAGTTGGTGGCAGAGCAAGGCATCCTAGTCGCGGAACCGGCCCTGAAGTGGGAAGCACGTGCGAAAGTACTCCGAGTGAGAGCCCGACACCTAATTGAAGAACTACGAATACCCACTGGCCTGGAGCAGCCGAAACGGCACCCGAGAGAAGCACAGATTGCCGCAGAAGCAGTGAAGCGGACAGGAGCAGCCAAGAAACGGCGGACAAACAAGAGCGAGACCGTAGATAAGAGCATCCCGGCTGACAAAACAGATGGAGATACCCCGTTTTAAGACACTAATGAATTTTCGACGGATGAGCGGTTGAAGGAGGTTGCGAAGTTTGAAGAAGAGGCATCCGGTGAGCTGGACAAGCAAGGATCACTTGCAGAAATACGAGCTGCGCGAAGGGAGGCATTGAAGAAAGCCTAGCGTTTCCGGTTCGTGAAGCGACTCCGACGACTTCAAGGGCGGACAAAACTGTTGTCGGGAGGTGTTGAACCAGTGGCACCGCTTGGCGTTCAACTGCTGTTGGGATGACATTAATCGCTTCTGTGGGCTCTCAGCCACCGCATTCTTCGGCTGCTGTGTTCTCTCCGACGCATCACCACTGACCGCTGGTTCGCTCAATACTGCTGGGGTCTTTTCTTCCTTCTCAGTGGTACCCGCACCGACTGGTTTCTCCGGTGGTTCACCTGTCGCCAGTTCTTCATTTTCGTTTTCTCTCGCCTCCTCGCTCTTCCCCTGGACTAAACTACTCGTGGTGTCACACTCTGTCGCAGTCAGACCACCGGGGGTTTCGCTCTTCCCCTGGACTGAACCAGCTATCTCGAACCCGTCTTCGTGGAGCTCGGTCCACCGTCGCTTACGCTTGGTGTTTGTCCTCCTGGATCGCGTGCGGCCATTCCTCACTTCCGCTCGGTTAGCATCGGGTGTTTTTGAATCGCGAACAGCAGAGTCCCCATCTCTACTGTCCAATGCCATTTCCCGGAGATGCTGCTGGCGTCAGTGCTGGAGCAGCTGGTGCCGCATCTGCAGGGGATTCGCTTCCTCCGTTATTTCTTGTCGTCGCTTGCGCTGGCAGCTGCTGTTGTGTCAGTGGTTGACCGTTTAAGTCTCTCAGCCGGGTTCTGCACGTTCGCCACCAATGTCCGGGTTTATTGCAGTAGCCGCACTACGTGTTCGCCTTGCGCTGTTGGATGGCGGGCGCGTCCATCAGTCCATAGTGTCCGCTGCCTCTATTACCTTCGCGTCCACTTCGTTCCTGCCAATTTTGGGTTCGTCGGCTGTCTTGACTGGTGTGGCTGGTCGTTCACCTCCATGTCCTCATGTGATTCCACTTTTAACTCTAACACCCTAACTTTCGACTTCGTCGCTGCCAGCTTCGTTTCGTCAGGGCCACCGCGAGCTGTTACGATTGATGCTTGCAGAGCTGCGATAGATAGTTAGTCTTTTCCTGCTGACTTCTCCCACTGGCGGATGACACCGCCTTCGGTGTCGAACATGGCTGCTCTTCATTCAATGCCAGTCCTCCCAGGCCCAGTTTCTTCCAGTCACGCTGGTCTATCTCCGCCGTAGCCGATGCTTTTCGCTGGAGTGCAGGGGGATTTTCCGCGTTACTTTGTCGCTCCACTTCCTGCGGAATCTTCGCCAGCTACGCTTCGATCGATTCGCTCGGCTTCCCGTGGAGGTCTGTCAAGTTCAGAGTCTTCAGCCTTGCTCGGTTTGCTGGGGCTGCGGGTGATTACACAATCACCGGCTGTGGTGCGGGTGCCGCAAGTGGTGGTTGTATCAGGAACCGCTTCATCATCGCTTTCTGCTGTGGAGCCGTCAGTTGTTCCCACCAGTCCATCGTCTCAAGGTCATATTTCTGCTGGTTAGGGGCTACTGGTGCCGCCGCTCTAGCTGGAGGTGGTGGAGCACCGCCATCACGTTGGTTGTCTCCTGCAGGTGGGCTCGCTGATGATCTTCTTCCTCCCTCTCGGTTGCCCGGATTGGCTTGATTGTCACTGTCACTGTCGTCATCAGAGCCTGGAGGCCCCGGTCTCATGGCCGCCACTACGACTCTACTGCTCACCGCAATATCATCATCCTCATTGACGCCATCATCATCATCCGCTAGCTAAATGCAGGTTCTCGACCGCCTCATACGTTTCGGCGTGCTCACTTGTCTTCCCGTGGGCGTCCGTGCCGCAGGGGTACTGCTTCTTGGTGATGATCTCGTGCTCACCATTATTCACTCCTTCTGGCCCTCCTTGTCTGCCTTCTGTTATCAGTTGAGAATTCCGTCCTCACTCTCTCTCACTTCAGTTCCACTGATTATAATTCCGAAGACCAATCCATATATTCCCTCCGAAGCCCTCCGTAGATCCTCACTCGCTGCATTGGCTAGGCTCGCGCCTCTGGGCCAAGCCTCGTGAAGGTTTAGATGTTCTCGTGAGCCAACCGTGTTGGAAGGACCCTGTATGACCACCAAGTAATTGCGCCCACTCTTTGTATGGCCACCAGTGCACACTTAGTGAATACTACCCAGTCCACAATCTCGTAAGCCCCTAGAGCCCTAAATATATACAATTTGAAATGCCCACAGCTTTCAAGGTAAATTTGCCGACCGAATAGAGGCGTCGGTCATCAGGATCTTACTAGACATGTGCTCTTTCCGCGGTAGCTGCAATCGCTCACGGACGAGCTGCTGATACCGCGAGTGTGTGATCTCTCTGAGACCTGTGCTCTTTTCGTGATGCAGTTACCACGAGCGGGCTGTGGATACCGCGAGTGTGTGGTCTTACGGGGCTTCCGATACCCGCGTTCAATCGCACCCAACGCCACCACCTACTAAGCACACACAATAAGCACTACACTCAGTTTCCAATGTCTTTATTCGCGTACGTCGCCGGCCTGGCGGGACCACTCGACCGCTAGGTGCTCGCGCATTTCGCAACTAATATCAATGCTCACTAGACTACAAGGCACTTGCGCACTTCGTGGCTAATCTTAGACTGATTCCTCTTTAGAACGTCGATCTTTCTCTCTCATGTCGACCTCCTTGTGGCCCTCCTGGGTGCTTTCCATCCACACGCTCGGCATCTGCGTTGTCCTACTATCTTCCTTGATCTTCACTCGAAAGGGCGCGGGCCAGATCCGCACATCCGTGGGTCAGCCTCGGCAACCCGTCACTCTTCCGCGTGTCCCCATTCTCCGTCATCTTCTTCTTCCCGATGTCCAGCATGTGGTCCTTCTTCTCGTGGCTCCACGTAATCACCAGGAGATCCCAAGAGGATTTCCATCCTCTTACTGTACAAAAAAATGCTCGTTTCTGGACTGATAAACATTTACATTTCGGTTGCCTTGATACGTCGACTGTAGAAGGGACACACGCATCGATAAAACTTGACTAGAGTCCTCGAAAGAAGACCTACTGACCTTTTTCACAAACTGTTACCGTGGTGGAAATCTAGAGCGAATGCAGTTATTAGCGAGACGTAAGATCAATTTCGTACAAGCTTAGTAATTCCACATTTTCTTGAGTGGTTAAGCTTATCTATGTGCATGCGCTAGGCAATACTCATGATTTGGGGAAACAAATTGTGCATAAAAACAAAAAACCTACAAAAAAAAGAAATTAGGCTGTGTTCTAAAAAATTTCGCTGTTGCTATGGCCGACCTTGTGTCCACTCCATGATTCGTATTTACGAGTCCGACTAATATTTTCAGCTTGCGTGATTTCGATCGACACTGGTTCGTACGTAGTGATATAATCGAAGATTTAGAAAATATTTTAGAACTTACCATGCGAAGTAAGAAGCGACGCCCGTCTACAAAGAAGAAATCGCACGGAGCATGATGCGGGGTAAACACTACAAGAAGAGATCCTTCATCTTTTGAATTTGACGTCTTACCCGGCCAGGGTACAACAAGCCAGAATATGCGACGTTCACCGTCCCATGGATCCTTACTAAACGAAGAACAAAGCCTCGATCGTGGATAGCTCAATGCTTTTCTACCCCCGCAAATATCGCTCAAGCAGAGATGCGAGTACATCACGTTACATGTAATATTATTGTGTTTACCCCTACGCAAATACACGTCCCTAGTGTCCATTTAATCGTACACAGAAACTTGGTCCATACAAAGCTCTAGTCAGCCGAAATGACACATGTTTTAAGTTATTTAGGTTTTTGTAAAGGACGTGACCAGCTTGACAAATCTCTTTTTTGTACGTGAACCTCCCTTTTTTTAATGGAGGCTCACTCTTTAAAATGTGCGAAACCAAATAATAAAAATTGACTGAGTTATCATTTGACGAGGTGGCCGTTATATTGTGTCCAGAAAAGTTAAAAGTAACCCTTTCCCTTTCGCTAACCTTATCCCTATCTGTAAAAGCTTTTGTTTGAAGCGTTTTGAAGCTTAATTTAAAAGCTTAAAAGAACCCATTTGTTGATGTACCACGAAGTTGGTACTCGCTAATTTCTTTTGAAAAATGTATTGCTAGGTCTGCAGTCGCGTTCTCTATAAGGAAAGCTGACTAGACACACATCGATATTGCTATCTCACGTAATGCCCTCGCAGTCGCTTACAGGTCACAAGCGCCGGATCTCCGACGAGTCGGTGCTACAGCGGACTCCACTTCGCCGCCGCGTTCAACATCGCCAAGACAACCAAGTGCAAAACATTTACGGAAATGGAGATGCGAAACGTGAAAACTACAACGGAAAAAGGAAACCTGACACCTTTCTTCTCAGCAGTCCAACGGATGTGTCAGACGCCACAGTGATGCAACAAATTCGCGCTAAGCAGGCCAAAGCCAGTGGCCTGCCGAACCTTTCGCTCTTGCCTCCTGCAGAATCAGTCGTGACAAAAGTCGACCCAATGGCAAAAGAGGAAGCCTCAGAGCTGGAAGAAGAAGCTGAAGCTGGGGCCTTGACACCTCGTCCCACAGTGTATCGACGCATGGCTCCGCGTCCTCCGTTAAGTCATCGACGAACTTATGGGCTGAACCGAGCGAGATTCGGCGTGGGCATCGTCCGATGTCGCAACCGCAAGCTCAACGACGAAGACACTGAGACCGAGGACAAAAGCCCGAAATCTTCGCCACTAAGAGAACACTCCAGCAGTGTAAAGGCTTCGAAGTTGTTGATGGAAGGTGCAGATCGTGGATACTCAGAAGACGATAACAGCGAGATACTGGAAAACCAAGTTGGCGCGTTAGTATTGCCTATTGACCCGACTCGGGCTTGCTTCGATCGCAGCTTCAATGAAGATCAGTGGCAACTGCGTTCGCCATCTCCAGATGAAAAATTTGTTCCTGAGAACTCATGTTGTGCCACAACTTGTGAGAAGACACTGCAGTAGGAATGTGAATCTGAAATATGCAAACCCACGCCGATTCATGCGGCACATGTTGAAAGCAATTAAAAAAAGTTTTGTCAAGATTTCGACTATCTTTTTAAATGATATTATTACAATTTGCCGTCGTATCCGAGAAATAATACGGTCGAGAAATCGACCATTGCGTCATGCAGACGTTTCTGCAGAGCAACAATTCTGCCACGTGCCAGATAAAATTCTTTTCGCGATGGCAATTCATTAATCGCGTTTTTAAAATGACTTTCCGCACCAGTTATGTCACCACTGCGAGCAAGTGCCACTGCTTTATTTGCATACGCGTAGCTGCAGTGCGGCAAAAGTGAAATTGCAGTGTTAAAATGGGTAAGGGCAGCTGGCAAGTAGTTGCAACTCAAGCAAACCACGCCGAGATTTAAATGTGCCACACCTGACAATGGATCGAGTTCAAGAGCACGTTGGAATGCAGTCGCGCTTTGCTCAAAATTATTTTCCCGGAGACTGAGCGTGCCCAAACACACGTGCGCGTGTACCGAAAATGCGTCAAAGTGGAGTGAATCCTCGTAATCTTGACGAGCACGCGCTAGTTTTCCCATTTTCTCCAGCATTACACCACGATTCAGCATGTACAAAGCCAGTACTTGCTCATTTGACCCAGTGAGGTGAACTTTAGGAGCTGGTGTCTCCATCTGAGCCAACAGCGCCGCAGCAGCACTCATATACTCGTTGTTGTCGGTCAACGCCGTCGTGAATCCCGTTGATAAACGACGTGTTCCTTTACGTCGAAGAGTCTTTCGATCAAGTGCGTTGCGATGAATAATGCCATTAGTAAACGCGTAGAAGGCGTTTTCTAGATTGGCAGACGAAGACACGCACGTTCTAATGGCAGCATCCATACATGTGATTGCTTCTTCCTGTCGACCCGGAAGTTGGAAAAGAGCAAGCGCTTTGCTCTCCAAACAGGCGTGGTTAAGTGGTTGTTCACGAGAAATGACATCACATTGGCTGATCGCCGCTCGAAACGCTTTCTCCTTTCTCAAACAATTCGCCAAGTTGAGACGAATATCCACATTCGACGGCTGCAGTCGTACAGCACGCAAGTAGAATCGCCGAGCTCGTGCGAGATAAGCTGCGTGGAGTGTCTGCGCAAGATGCGTCTCACTCTTGGTGGCCAAGTTAAAGTACGCATTCCCGCTGTCAACATACGTATCCCGACCAAGCCGTCCATACGCGGCGAAGTGCGTAGCGGCATCTTCGTATCGATTGAGTTGTAGCAACGCAAAGCCCAAGGCTCCATGAAGTTCATCGTCGTCTGGAGCGCACTGTTGAACTTCTTCCAGATCTTCCAGCGCACTTTTGAAATATCCTAAATGGCAACGAACAATCGCGCGGTTGCGGTGTGCAGCCACCTCGCGACCTTGCCCAAATAAGGTGATACTATGGGTGTATGATTTCTCCGCTTGAGACCAAAGCTCCAGTTTTTGATACGCCACACCACGGTTAAACAGCGCATACGCACGCACCTCTGCAGTCGATGTTGTCTCCAGCTTGATAGCTTTGTCAAAGTCTTCGATTGCGGCAGCGTATGCAGCGAATTGACATTTCAGAACACCCAGACTCACATGAGCGCGGGCGTATTTGGGTTGTCGCTCTGTTGCCGTCTCCAAATCACGAAAAGCTCGATCGTACTCCTCCCCCAGCACATTCAACTCCGCTCGATCGACATACGCATCTGCAAGGAGAGGCTCCAGCCGAATACACTTGGACAAGTCAGCAATACTGCCCACGACGTACTGCTTCATCATTTTTCGCACCAAAGTTTCGTCTTTCACAGCGTCAGGTCCTAGGTCTCTTTCCACGTCTTGCATTGGAATACGAGGAGCAAATGGCGATCGAGACATCCTTTGTGTTGCGTCGGTATCACTCGCGAACTTACTCTGGAAAGCCACTCGCCATCGCATGTACAGCTGCATCTGAACGACGCCACGTTCATAGTACACATGTCCTTCCTTTGGAGCTAAAGAGAGCGCTTTGTCGTATTCCACCATTGCTCGTGCGAATTGACCCACTGACACGAGTAACTGAGCGCGTCGAGCGTATCCTTTGAAGCTGGATGGGTCGGTATCTACAACCTTTTCACTCACACGCAGCGAGTTTTCAGTGTCACCCAGTGAATGTAGCGACTCGGACAGTAGCACAAGGTTCTCGCTCGTTGGGTTTTCCGCCACTGCCAGCTCGAAAGCATGCACTGCGTTTTGGAAGCGTGATAAGAGCTGGAAGGCCCGTCCGCATAAGAGCAACGCATCCTTCTTAGGTTGGCTGTCCTTGATGGAGTTAGCATCCGTTGGGAGCGGTGGGTCGTTAGTAACTTGCTCCAGGAAGCTTACGAAGCTGTACAGCGCTGGCCGGGCCATCTTTAGTGTCAATTGGAGTCTCCCACGTAGAAGATGTGCCCAGCGATCGCTCGGCTGGCTACGTGTTAGCCGCGTGTAGTCGCGAAGTGCAGCTGCCGTGTTCCCTTGACGTGTATACGCCTCAGCACGCAGGTAAATGGCTCGATAAAGTCCTGTATCATTCGCTAGTGCACTCGTGCAAGCTTTAATGCACTCTTCACTGTCGTGATAGTGGTTGAGATACACCAATGCAATTTGCAGCCATACTTCGGACAACGTCGGGTCTGTGGCGACTGCAGCCTTGAAGTCTTGCAGAGCGTTGTTGAAGCGCAGATCACGCAGGTGCAAAGCTCCACGTACAGTGTACGCGCCACCGATAGTTGGGTCCAATGCAAGACACCGCGAAAGATGCTGCATGTTGTTGGCGTGGTGTGCAGCGGCAGTCTCTCCGTCTTTAACGACCCCAGCAGCCGAGTCTTTCGCTAACAACAGCGTTGCAAAGGCACCTCGATAGAAATGAGCTACTGGATAGTGATACTCCATCACCACAGCGTGCTCGAAGTCTCCAAGTGCACTAACCTTGTCGTTTGACAGCACGTACAGGCGTCCTCGCTGAGCGTGAATCGCTGCTATTAACATCTCTCGGTCAACTGTTGACAGCGAATAGTAATCGCCAGCTCCTGTGCCTAATCCGCTCGTGTTGTGGGGAGTTCTTGACGCTCGTAGGCCTCCGCTCGGGTCGAGGACGAGTAAATACAGTAGACGTGTGAGATTCTGGATAACTTGGCGTAACACAGTGACATCGCCCGTAAACTCCAATAATCTCACGGTTAGATCGCCGACAGTCTCGACAACTTCCACTACAGTACAGCCCTTGTGAAGAGCGTTCACGTAGTCTTGAATAATGGCTGCAAGTAACTCTTCATAGCGTAAATGCTCCGAGTGATACCCGAGACTCTGTTCATCACCTTCAATGGCGCGTAGACGCAAGGTTGCTCGATCATAGTACGCTCTCCAGCAGCTCCGATCAAGCGCTAGAACAGACGTCAAGTCCTGCAACGCAGCGCCAGCAGCACGACTTCGATGGAATATCTCAGCCCGCAGCAACAAAGCTTCAGTGTACTGCGGATGCAACACCAGCGCACGGTTTACATCGGCCAGAGCATTCTCCGCTTCCCCCATTTTGCTGTGTAAACACGCTCTCAGTAGATAAAGCCGCTGATCCTCTGGACGAAGTTGCAGTGCATGGGCTAGATCTTTGATAGCTTGAGTCCACAATCCCAGGCGACGACAGCATCGAGCTCGTAACAGCGCTGCTAAGATGAACTCTCGATCGATAACCACACAAGCTGAAGCCAACAAGATGGCACGCTTCCAATCCTTCTCCGCTTCAGCCAGTAAACCCTTCAAGAACAGCTCGTCTACAGTCATATGTTGATCGCCTTCCTTCAAGTAAGCTGCTAAGCTCTCCACGAGATCTGAGGCCATGGCTTCGATTGGAGTTCGATTGTCAATCGCTGTAGACCTAGAATTTGCTCCACTTCTGCTATTCATTGCCGAGTTCGGGCGGCGTTGTAGAGCTGCGTCGTCTCGTAAAGCCACTTCCGTTTGAGTGATCACCGACATTTCTTGACGTAGGAACGACTTCATGGCGCGCTTGGCAATCACGTGGCGACAGATGCGTAATATATGTGCCGACGTTGGGTCAAGCTTCGCTCGTACAGAGATGACGCTGGTCTCGTCTTCCATCACGCCCGGCATATTTGACTGTTGACGCTTCAGTTTTTCCTTAGTTGGGGCTGGTTGGATAAGTTGTTTGCCTTCGCCAATAGTCCGGAGTGATGTCCCCTTGGTCAGAGTCTGCCCGCTTTGTGATGAATTACTTGCACTTGACATGAGCTCCATACGATGCGCCGTTTGGCTAATAGCCTTATCCACGGAAGCGAGCCTGCGGATGATTGTACTTGGACCTCCGGAAGTGTCTTCGTTTACAGAATCAGTGACGCGTTCGAGCGAGGATTGTCGAGGTTTCATCGCGGGTGTAGCCGCCGAAGTCTTCCCGAAGCTGCCGCCAGTTGGAGAGTTCAAGACATGCTGCTCAGTCTCGCGAAGCTTCCTGGTAATGGCACTGACGTTTAGAAACTTGCGAAGGATAACGCCGCGCAGCACATGCTGCGTAAATACTTCTGGTTGTTTGTCTCCCGCGTTGCGAATCACGATTGGAGTCGCGAGAGTATCATCTACCGGCTCCCATTTCGCAAGTTCTGGCTCTGCTTCTGAGCTCTGGTCCTCTAGCGGTACAAAAACTTCGGTCACAGTCGATAAAGACGTTGAATTACCCGGACGTCCGTGCTCGGTCTCACTTGTCTCCCGTTGTGCTGAAGTAGGCGTCAGTGGGTGTAGACGGGTTGGCACTTCCAGTACTGAAGAGTGGGGTCCAGTCACCCCCACACTAGCCCCAGAGACTAGCAAGTTCGTAGGAGTCTGCAGCCGAACAGCTATTGTCGATGGAGCGTTGGCTGCCTTACAGCTTGAAGAAATTTCGCTCAGCGGACGAATCGGAGTACCCATACGAGAATTATCTTGAGATGGCACTGACGGAGAGGAAGTTTTTGTTGTTGTGGGTGTTGTCTGTCCTGGTCGTGGCGTTACGGGGCCATCGAAAAGGTACTGGCTACTCTCAGGTGTAGCAGACAGCTCAGCAGCCGGCACATTATCTCCTCCCCACGGAGCCACCTCCGACTCATCGTCTGGAGCGGATACTGCCTTGGATGTAGTGGCAACATCAGGTACCTGCATGTCCGCAACAACTTTCCAGTTGCTTTGTCGTCTCTGTGCACTTGGAGATGGCACTACTGCGTAAGGCGTCAGTGATTTATCCAGTTGGAAAACACGTTGGGGCTTCATTGGTGTCATTGGCTTTGGCTTCCATCTGAAGTACTTCGGCGTGTTTGACGGTGTCGGAATATAGGATTTTTTCACAGGTCGTGGACTAAACAAAGCGGGGAGTGCTCCAGCAGGAAGAACAGACCCGTCGCTCGAGCTTGTATCCTCTTCTGGGCACCGTTCATTTTCCGATACATCCTCGTGCTGTCTGCGATGTTTGCGCTGTAACTTGTCGCTTTCATTTTGGGTGATAACGCCCAACGGTGGTCGATGCTGAGCTGGTCGGACGTCAAAGAGAAGAGGACGCCGCTTTAGCTCCGGGTCCATCTCCAGCACTCGAGACTTATTGCGCCTGGAAGAGCTCTACAGTAGATGCATTTTTGCAGCAAATTAAGCGTTTCCTATCGTTTTCTGGTCACCAAGAGTCACCTATGAGTGCCGTGACCTATTTTGCTAGATCATAAAACTTTGGTACGTGGTCAGATTCTTGGTAGAAAAAATGTGAAGTGGGTCGCTATTTCTAAAACATTGGATTCATTTCAGACTACCGTACCGATCGCACACGGCGTCTCCATTACCGTAAGTCAGCGTTATTCATCTTTTCCTCCAAATTAGCAAGACATTTTCGCTTCAATAGCATACAACGAGTGGTTAGATCAAAAGGCATACATAAACAAAGCTTAAGGCCAGTTTCCTCACCTGCCACGGCGCTAGTCGATGCAACGAATCGTAGCGCTTCGACGCCGTCTCGAGAATCTGTGGAGACCACTTGTTGCAGGCTTTGAGCAAACTTGAAAGGAGGAAATCCATGTCGCTCGGTCGGTGGGTCTCGCCCATGAGCTCTGTGAATCGGTTCAGCATCTCCTCAGCTCCTGCGATATCAAGCTGACCGAGACGGCAGAGAACCGCGTTGCCATACGCTTCGTTAGCTAGATCGAGCTGTGCATTGCCGCGTCGTAGATCCCCCACAGCCTCGAAACAACCCTCAGCAAGAGACCACAAGCTCGCTTCCCCATATACACCCGCAGCCCACAGTCCGTACTCGGCAGCGCTGTGTACACTGCCGCCAGCTTCAGCAATATTCTTCGCCTGCACATACAACTGTGCCACCTGCTTCGCCAGTGCTACCGACTTGCAATCCGCTGGAAACCTGCGCTTCAGTCTCAACGCTAACTCCGATAGGCCACGCGCAGCTTCATCAAAGTATCCAGCCGACGCTAACTCATCGCATACACCTTTAATCTTCCGTACCAGTTCGCTCTCTTCTCTCGGGTATGCATCCACTTCCTCCAAAATGCACCATGCCGCTTCCAGTTCATAATTCGCGCGAATTATTACGGTACTAGCCGCCTTTGCAGCCTCTAAGAAGAACGTTGCTGCATTCTTCCAGTCCCTCCTCACTTTGTACTGTAATGCCTTGGCTCTAATCTCTCGATGCGACTCAGTCTCCACCTCTGTGAACCCTGTCTGAATGCCTTCGGATTCCGCTACGCGTCTCCGTCTAAGCGATCCTGATCCTAAATCAGAGACAGTCCCTGACCCGTTCACAAGGTACTTCTCAATACCGGACATAACCCCTCCTCTCGAGAGCTTTATTACCCACGGCGCTCGGCACAAAGCCTTGATGTAGTCCCCAGACTCATCAGCCCAACGCCAAGTCCCGAAGATGCCAAAAGCGTAGCGTTCTCTCGACGGTACGTAGACGACACTGAAGGTCAGTGCATTGTGGAAACGCCAGCTCAGTGGCTCGTTGCGAACTAGAGACTTGGCGGTCTGGTACATGGCTGAGAACCACTTAGACACACCCACTGACGTGTCCGGTACGAGGTCCGACGGCTCGGTCTGCTGACTAATCCATAGAGCGAACGAATGGTCTGACGGATTCGTAGCTGCTGCGCCTAAGAGAATCGCAGCCACTAGAGCGACAAAGCGGAAGAGTGTCGCCACAAGAACGGGTAATAGCGTCGCCATGAGGAACATCCCGAATACTGCAAAAACAACGTTTAGAGTGCTGTAGCTTGAGCTGTAGAGCGAGGTAGGAGATGAACTTTGATGCAAATAAAAGCTTACGGATCAGAAAGATGACATTGTTTGCTGTCATGGCCGCAGGGGCCGCTGGAGCAGCAGGCGGAGGTGGCGTTCCCCATGCCATTATTGACGACGGAGGAATCAGGCTGTGGGAGATGTGCTAAGTGCGACATTAATTGTGGTACAATGTACCATGAATAGTGTAGCCAAGTTCCTGCTCAATAATCGACAAGCAATGGTGGCGACGAATTTGCAGCGTCAGGATGGCCGCGCCGGCAACGAACTACGGCCGTTTGCGTCCGAGCAGGGTGCGCTTTTTCGTGCTGATGGATCTGCGCGCATGTCCCACGGTAGCAGTACCGTGCTAGCAGCGGTGTACGGCCCAGGCCAGGCGCGCAACTGGCGCGCTGAGAATACGGACAAGGCAACATTGGATGTGTGCTTCAAGCTCGAGAAGGGCATCATGAGTGCGTGGCAAAGGACTTGGGGTGGCTCCAGTGTGGTGGATAAACTTACGCTCGGAGTGGTGACTTTGTAGCGTCTAAGGAGAAGGAATACGAGCAGATCATCCGCCAGACCTTCGCGCCCGTCGTTCTCACCGACAGCTTTCCGCGCGCTGTCATCAGCATCGTGGTGCAAGTGATCGAAGACAATGGCTCTATATCCTTTCCACTATTTTTGATTATTGCTGCATGTATTGATTGTGATGTTAAGTTAGTGAAAACTCTTTGTGGCTAGTTGTCCTTAACCTTGGAATTGGCGATTTCGTTATTTGGTATTATACCTTCTTGCAGTGGCTATTAACGCGGTGAGCTTGGCGCTGATGGACGCTGGAGTTCCCATGCTTTCGGTCGTCACGGCGACCTCGTGCAGTATTTTCGACGACGGCAATTTATACCTGGACCCGACAGCAGCAGAAGAAGAGGTATCCAAATTGCATCACCGGAGTTGTGTACCGCCGTGAACGGGATATCTCATGCACATTGTGTTTTTCTGGTATTGCAGGAGGCTGTTTCTTGGGTCACCACTGCGCGATCTAGCACAAGTGACGGAGTCTTGACCTGCATCACGAATGGTAAGAGCTATATGAATGTCGTGCTTTCTTTTGTAGCACCTTTCAAATATTTCTGGTTTCTATTCATCCAGGTTTGCTGTCAGAAGAGCAATATTTCGCGTGTTCCGAGGCATGCCAGAGGTGTGTATCGGTATCAGATTTGTTGGGTATCGTGTGTATTGACGCATACGTGATCGATTCGTTGTCGCAGGGCATCGGAGAGTGTGGCGGCGTTCTTCCGCATCGTGCAGCAGAAGAAGCACCCACTCGAGTCAACCGCTCAATGAATTTAAGTACTGGAATAAAGGGTCTCATCCTGCTTAAGAAACGCAGATGAGTTGGCTAAGTGGTCTCTGATTAACCGTACCGCACCGTGTCGTCGACAAACCAGTCGAACTTCTCGTTGCCAAAACCAACGATGACACTTTTGATCTGAGAGTACGAGCGATACGCCTCCAGTCCGTTTTCTCTCCTGCAGTACAACAACCATTGGTAAATACTAGTAGTAACTTGCAATCCTGTCAAAACATAACCCAACTGCTTACCCCATGCCGCTATCTTTCACACCACCCCAAGGACTCGACGGATCGTTTCGGTGGTGATCGTTCAGCCAAATTATTCCAGCGCTCAAAGTATTGGCCACGCGATGGGCCTGCTTGATGTTGTTCGTCCAAATCGCAGCACCAAGTCCAAACGGAGAATCATTTGCATGCTTAACAGCATCGGCTTCATCCTGCAACAACCGAAGTTAGTATCAAGAAGCAGAATAATTATTCTTTGATACTTGCAGGCAACCCACCGTGAAGGAATAAGCAGCAACCACAGGGCCGAATACTTCTTGCTGCACGATTTCCATGTCAGAGGTAACATCCGTGATCACAGTGGGCTCGTAAAAATATCCCTGCAGCAAAAATGCATCAATTGCTTAGATTGAACTCATTTTGTACGCATATTCATGGTTGACGCACCTTTAGATCGGTAGCGCGGCGTCCTCCACAGCGAACAGTTGCACCATCTTGTCTAGCACGCTCCACCATTGCGTGAATACGTAAAAGGTGTGGCTCAGAAATGATAGTACCCATCTGCGTTCGGTCGTCCATAGGGTCCCCTAATCGGATCGAGCGAACTTTTGCAACCAGCTTCTCCACCAGCTCATCAAAGATCTTTTCGTGAACGATCAAGCGGGCACCGGTGACGCACGTTTGACCGCTTGCAATAAAGCAGGCAAATGCAGCTCCATTGACTACTTCGTCCACATCCACGTCGTCAAAAACTACAATCGGAGCTTTCCCACCTAACTCCATCGTCGTGCTAGCAAGGTTTCCACCTGCCGCTGCAGCGACAGCCCTCCCTGTCGCAGTTCCGCCTGTGAAATCAATTTTCTTGATCGCCGGGTGCTCAGCAAGAGCGCGGCCAGCAACTGCGCCAAGTCCAGGAACACAGTTGAAGACACCCGCTGGAATTCCTGCGTCATGACACAGCTCAGCGAGCTGCAAAACAGTGAGTGGCGCTAGTTCTGACGGCTTGACCACGACAGAATTCCCCGCAGCCAACGCGGGTGCCAATTTCTTGACAGCAATGAGCAACGGATGGTTCCAAGGCGTGATCTGCATCATTATTACAAAAGAGAGCAGCAACTCAGTCCGATGTCTGCAACTCCAGCCATTGTCCATACTCAAGTACACACCTGTCCGACAGTCCCGAGTGGGAGGCGCTGTGTGTAGTTGACATAATCACCTGAAAACGGTGGCACTGAGCCCTCCGACGTCCTTGCCAGTGCTGCAAAATACTCAAACCATTCTGTGCATTTCTATTAGTACCAGCCGTCACACCTCCCCCCAATGCCACTCACCTGGTATCCTCCTGAGCTGTGCCCGCATCTCTCGGATGGGTCGTCCGGTCTGTAGACTTTCCTTCTCTGCAAACTCAGGGATTCGTTTACGCAATGCCTTGGCGATGTCATTAAGCACATTTGCACGCTCCGCGACGGATGCTCGTGACCACGATCCTACCTCGAATGCGCGTTGCCCACTGACTACTGCGCGAGCGACGTCGGCAGCCGTAGCATTGGCCACGTACGCGAGACACTCAGTGGTTGCAGGATTCTCCACTTCTAGTCGAGCATCTTTTCCTGAGGCTGTCACAAACTCCCCGTCGATGAAAAGCCCGTACTCACTGCGATTGAAGACTGTAGTCGAAGCAAAGCGAGCTCGAAGAGAGACATATGCGGCGAGTCTGGGCGGACGAGCGACTAAACTCCACATCGCAGCACCTTTGATATGTCTTAAGCTGCTGAGTTTAGTGACCATCACTCTGCTCAACTTCAACTTTGTATGCGACCGTTTGCCAATCAAAGATCTTATGGCGTACGAAGCTGCAAGTTTGCATGGTGTTTTTTTCCAGGAATGCTAATCTGCGGGCTTGTGTTCTGCAGAGCGAAGGCGTCGGTGCTTCGTGAGGACTGGGCGACCGCTGAGCAGATCGAGCGTGTTCAACTCCAGCTGCTGGACGTCGTTGACTTTATCAACAGATTCCGTACGCCTCATCACAAAAAAATCTTAGGATAAGTGTACTTTGCTTTAGAATCTCACGGCTTGTGTGTGAAGATGCTAGCGCTAAAACTCGACTTGCTGTTTTGAACGAGAAGATGGCTGCTGTCGAGAGAAAGCTGAGGTAGGCAGCTTGCGTGTCTGGGGTCGTAGTGATGCTGATTAAAGTGGTGATGGGATTTAGATACGTTGAAAATGCAGTGCGCAAGGCAAGATATTTGACAGCCGCAGAGTAGAGAAACTGCGTTTCAAGTATGAAAAGCATTAAAGGCAATTTTGTTGCTCAAATTAACTGTTCTTGGAGCTACTTGGTCGCGACGGCAGTCGAAAAGAGCGATAGCCTGTCCTCGCGAGTGAAATCGGGGGCTTACGCAACTCGGCTGTCTTAATGGTGTCCAGTCGAGGTGAATCGGACCAAAATTTGGCAGAATTGAAGTCTTCTTCCGGTTTCTCTTCAGCTTTGTTTTGATTATCGTCTGAGTTTGCCATCACGTGTTGCATAAGAAACTGTTTCATTTCAGTCTCGATCGCGTCACTGTCCTGCTGGGGTTCCCGTGGCGTTTCACCTTTACGTGTTGTTTTGGTATCTCCTTCCAACGACATGCTTCCTTCATTATTCAAATCGTGCTGCTCTTCCATTGTTGTCGTGGTATTCGGTTCTAGTCCACAAATTGATTTCGATTTCGATACAGACAGAACTGGAGCTGGCGGCAATGAAGTCTGCGTCTCTATCTCACAAGCTGGTGTAGGTATGAGGGTCGTAACAGTAGCTTTGTTGTTGTTGCTGCTGATAAATGACTCTAAGGGATCAGTACCCGCATCAACGCATGACCTTCGAATCAGTAGCGACTTCACTGTTCTAGCGCGCTGAGCAATTTTTGGGATTCTCTTCGTAACAGTGTCACAACCCACATATTCAGTGCGCAACGATCTCGAGGAATCGACTGCGTCACGAAGGTCATTTGCTTGAATCTCGACCTTCGAAGTCAAAGCACTCCTCTTGACCGCGATGGCTACTGCGATCGAGTCTAAAGGAGCCGGCGTGCGCCGTTTGGTAGGTTGCAACTGGTCAGCTGCGCCGTGGCTTCCGACACGATTCAACATTTGCTTCATTTTTTGCAGCCGACCGCGCACTTCATCCTGAGCTCTGGCAAGTTCTTCTGTGCTTGCTAGTTTCGTGAGATTGCCTGAGCAAAACGTGTAAGTAGTGCAATTACTTGGCGATTAGGAAAAGTTTAGGTAGCCATGAGCACAAACCTATTCGAGAGGAAGGTGTGTGGAAAACAGGGACAGTATCAGGTGTCGCCAGTCTTGCACTTGGAGTCCGTACACGAGCACTACCCGGCCGAGAGGCTGCGGACCCAGGCCGATATGAGGGCGTTGAGACTCTAGACGAACTAAGCAGCTCACCCTGTGAGACGGTGCCTTGCTTCAGTTTGTCGCGAGAGGCTTGCAACTGCGCGTCAGTGAACGTATCGAGAGTTTTTAGCTCGGGCAGTGCATTCATTACGTCGATGAGGTAGCTGAAACCATTGGTGTTATTATATATTTGGCGTCAGTACTGCTTTCCGAGTTTTCAAAGCATCGCTGTTTCCTGTACCTGTTCGAGTAGCAGCATGGATTCCCATGCAACCAGATATCTCGCAGTGTCTCACACTTTGCCAGAATCGTGATCTGGGAGCTTAATTCGAGATTATTGTTTCGTAGGTCGATTGATTCAAGCTGAGGGCATCGTGAAGGGAGCAGCTGTATGTCTGCGATGCTATTGTCATGAGCGTAAAGCTCGTTTAGCTTCTCCAGTGGTGTGAGCAAGCCTTGAAAGTTGGGTATCTGATTCCCGTTTACACGAAGTATCTGTACACTTCACCCAGATCAGCGCTCGGTGCATGCTGATAAATTAAGAGTAAACCCACCGCTAGATTGGGAGGCATTACACCTTGCAGAGTTGTCAAATTGTTTTCCGACAGGTTTAGCTCTTCTAGCTTCGTGAGATGGGAGAGATTGCCCACAGATGTCAGTTGGTTCCCACCAAGGTTCAAAACCTCCAAGTTGCTCAATGCATCAAGACCCTGCAAAAACGAGATTAAGGGTTACGATACTCGGTTTTGCGTTTGCTATAGCTGTAGCAAAAAATCAAACCTCTGACGCTGCACCGTGTAGCTTATTGCGACCTAAGTCCAGGTACACTAACAGTCTGCATCCTCGAAGGTTGCGAACAGCGGTGATTCTGTTGCCGTTTAGCCAAAGGTTTTTCAGTTTATTCAGCGCTAAAAAATCCGTAGAGATCTCCTCGATTTGGTTGTCGTTCATCTGAAGATCTTCCAGATTCGAGTTGCTTCATAAAATAAAGACACCATTAGATCATAGCCCACACATATCCATACATCCACTACTCACGCTTTCAAGCCGATCGTGTTCGTAAGTTTGTTATTGTAGATTTTGAGCTCGCGTAGCTCTCTGGCGGAGCTGACGTTTCGTAGCGACGTGATTTTGTTAAACGACACGTCCAGCGAGCACAACTTCGGCAGCTACGAAGCAGCAGGTCGCACGTAAGAATGCGTGAATATATGCTTTGTGTGACCCTTAAGATATATGCTGTTGCAGGCGTACCTCAGACAAATTACTGATTTCTCCGATGGATCGGTTGTGTGCGTCGATAGCATATTTGCTCGAGTTGAGCTCGGTCGACAGCACCCTCTGCACATTCACACATTTAGACAGTCATCAGACATGCTATAATATAAAAAAAACTGCAATACGTATGTGTACCAGTGCAGGACCATCGAGCACTTGGATCTGCGTGGAGTTGGCGTCTCCTCTCATCTCCTTTTTGTGTCCCTTCAAGACATGTGCTTAAATTAATTTTTACCAATCAGTTAGCTTTATTTTGTTTAAACAATTCCCGCGCTCATAAAAACTCTTACGAAGAAGCCACCACTAAGGTACGCGATGGTGGCATTAGACATCGAGAGCGACGTACTCCAGTTTATCAAAGCGCTCGTAGTGTATACAGCATGCTGGCTAACGCTGCGCTACCTTATTTTTTCTCTGGCTGCAGCATGGAGGACACTACTAGCAGCAACGTCGACACCAAGTTGGTCTTCAGCGACTCGGACGCCAACACAACGCCCACCAACGCCGGCACGGACGCCTCACAAGCCGATCTCCAGGCGCAGCTCGCGCTTTTCCAGCAGCAACAACAGCAGTATATTCAACAGCTCGTACGTGCCTCGTTCTCCCCTCTTTTTTGGCAACGCTAACGAGTTTTTTTTCTCTTTCTCTCTCGATATTCGTGATGTCTATCCCATATACTTTGCAACTTTAGATGGTAAGACGATCTATTGTGACCAAGTATTCTGAAACTTGGCTAATGCTTTCTATGTGCTATGTTGTAGCAACAAACCAACAGTGACCAGCTTCGTGCCATGTACAACTCCAACGCCATGATGCAGCCCTACATGGTATGGCTTTGGTATGCGCTCATTAAATGAGACGTTTATCTAAAGATGTTTTGTGTGGGTGTAGCTGACGCAGTCGATGTTCCCACGTCCTACGACTCCCAACTCGGCTGAGACTACAGAAGAGGAACCTGTGTATGTGAATGCCAAGCAATACCACCGCATTATGATCCGTCGGCAGCAAAGAGCAAAGCTGGAAGCCAAGCTGGGTAGTAACCGCCAGCGCAAGGCGTATCTGCACGACTCACGTCACAAGCACGCCATGCGGCGGCCGCGTGGCCCCGGAGGCCGGTTCCTCACCAAGGACGAGATCCAGGGCTTGAAGGATGGCACAATGGTGTTTGAAGACCTGCCCAGGAAGGCTGCCCCCAAGCAACAGTAACTCTGTTTTTTCTGAGGTAGCACACTCACATGGCTACCTTTTGTCAGATAGCAGCACACTCATTTTAATTGTTATTCCGTGACGTAAGCAATGAAAGCGGAAATTTGCATCTCGTCCCACCACTTGCGTTAATATCGGGAACTTATTTCTCCATGGGGCGGACATACACCACCTCACCAGATTTCGATACAATAAGTCCGCAGGGCCGCGTGCGCTGTGGCTTATCTTCGAGTCCGAGGCTTGCCCAGATGCGGCGATTTCCGAGTGCTGTCAGCTGAGCTCGTTTAGCAGCAATTGTCTCCTTGTCAAAACTCTCGAGAGGTGCGTAGATGCTGTTGATGTGCAAGTTGGCTGACAAACATACAATGTTAGCGATACAAGGACGACCCGTAATTACTTCTTCGGGCATAATCGACGTACTGTTGTCTGTGAGTTCTCCTGCTTCTTCCTCTTCCCCTGTGTTCCCGTCAGTCTTCAGACTAGCATCACGCTCAAATGAGTTGGTGAGACGCAGCGATGGAGCCTTGTCGGGTACGGAGGCTGCATCCGCGACCGACGAAGGCGAGACTTCAGGAGATGGTGGCGCATCGTAGTCCGTTCTCCTGTACGAGGGTCGCTGGCCTGTGTATTGACACGAGCAAGAATCAATTAGCGCCAGATCTCGAGACTCTGCTCATAAATTAAAAACTCCAGTACCATAAGTATTCTTGGTCGGTGTACAAGAACACGTAGAATTGCACGCGCAATGCGAGAAGTGGCAGAACCGGCCGCGCTGACACACACCCTTGTTTTGGAAGTCATAGCACACGCCTGTACCAGGTCCTTGGCTACCACCTGCCCCACTACCCCCACGTTTCTTCTTACTTGGCGGAGCGAAGTCCTGTAAAACATACAAATAACCAGTTAATATGCAGACATCAGTGCAGAGAACATCTTACGTCTGCTGTCGAAGGGGCTTCGTGACGACTCTTTTGTTGGGTTTTCTTGTTGGGGTCATCGGGGAAAAAGCGCTCGATCTCGTCGAGCTTGATATCTTCGCCAATTGCCTTCTCAATCATCGCAAGATAGCTGCGTTCGAGCGGCATGCTGCGATCTGGGCGGCATCGAACAAACTTCCAGCCACCTTTTCGTAAAACACAATAAAAAAATTGAGATATCTTCATGTACAGCATCCCCAGACAGCCGCCCACATACCTTTTCTCCACCCAACACCGCGATCGGTAGCGTTGAATTCCGTACTCCCCGAATCCCAGGTGCTCTTGTCATGCGACGGGATGTATGTGAGCCACTCCGGGGCGTATACACACTCGACGATACGCGATGACGCCTTTTTGTCCTGCCTGAAGGCCTCGAAATCATCTAATCTCATTAACATGCCCAAATAGAATGAGATTGGTCTTCAGCTACACGAAGAAAACAAGTCCTTTCACCTGGTGCGAACGTGATCCAGTCGTGAAAGACCTGCGTGCGCTTGTCGTGGATCACAAGCTTAAATCCGGGCTTCGGTGGACGTCCTCTCCACTCCACACCCAGTTGGAAGTCTGCAAACAGCACTGACGTTGGTGTCCAGTTGAATAACCCCTTAGAGAACCCCGGAGCATATGGCAGCAGCACGGGAGTGAACACCAGTCCGGCGTTCTGTCTTGTCTGAGAGACTCTGGGCAGAATGCTGCGGATCACATGGCCTACACGGTTAATGGGATACATGGACTGCAACACAAGCTGGAACATGTCGGGTGGCTGCCCTTTGGGAGGCGGCAACTGCTTGCGTGGACCCACCACGTCGTTCTGGATGAGCTTGAGTCGATCCTGTAGCTTATAAGTCATCACAGGGCTTCCATTAAGCGCCAAAATATCGTACAGTAGAAGTGTAAGCACCGATTTGCTGCCATCTTTATCGCACACCATGACCCCGTCCACAATTGTCCATTGATGCGGCACTACAGTGTTGCGATCTACTCCTGGTTGCAGACGATCTGGACGCACGGGGCAGAAGAGCGTCACCTCGCGGATCTCGTAGTTCTGTGAGATGAGGTAGCAGCGGCCTTGCACCAACAGCGCTAGATAGCGCACGCCCACGGACTTCTCACACACGAAATAAGGATGCTCGCCTATCTGGTGCTCGTTGCCACGAAGCATGGTTTGCGCCATATTCATAGGCGCGCGGTCCAACTCGCTCCATCCCACAATGGCGTTGATCTGCCGCTGGAGCTGCTTCTTAGTGTTCACGTGCACGGGCTGCCCAAGCTCCACGGGCACGCCCGCGATCGTTTGTGTTCCAGCAGGAACTGCGCTCGTTGCCATTTCGGAAGTGAGACCCGAAATTAACTCAAAATAATTTAATTTTGTACTGTAAGCCCATAGCAAACAGATGTCTTAATAAGAAACATTTTCTTGCTTAAAAAGACATTTTTAAAACTACTTTTTATTAATCCGGGTGCCTTCAACAATCGCCCGAAAATGGTGGCACGAGATGCTGTGAAGAAGAAGGCTAGCGTGATGGAGCATCAATACATTATCAGTCCGTTGCATTCTCAGTATGAGGAGGAGCTGGATCGTATCCGGACCGAGGGAGATTTAACGCTTATCAAGGTGCAGACGGAGAAAAAGAAGCTTTTGGAGCTTGAAGCCAAGCTAGCCGACGTGAACAAGCAACTCAGAGACAGAAAGAAGGCACCGAAACAGGGAGAACATGTTGCAGAATCTAAAGAATCAGCTAGCAACAAGGTTTTTTTTGCAGCACTGGCCATGTCGACTACAGGATTCAAAGGAACTGCAAGGCAACAGCTGACAACTGTTCCACATTCGGAGAAGGGCTCAGAGGTCAATGTAGTAAAGCGAGTACAAATGTCTACCAGTTCAGCAAAGGGCAGACAACTGCATGCGGAAGAACGCCTTAAAGTTGCTATGGCGGAGCGTGCAATGGAGCTTCAGAAGCTGCGACATGCGATTGATGAAACGCGGAGGAAGAGGCTCGACGCATTGGCGACGGAGAAACGAATGCTTAAGGACATTCAGGAAGACGAAGACGAGCTGAAGAGAGCGCAAGTGGAGATTGCGCTGTTGAAGCGACAAGCAGCTGGTGTGAAAAACGAAGTCGCTGCGACAGAACTGGAGTTTGACACAGAGAAGCAGACGTTCCGATTAGAACGCCAACGACTGCTGACAGAAGTGGAGGGAATCGTGAAGGCGGACAAACAGGGAGCTCAAAACCAACCTGCACCTGTGTCTCATGCACGTGCTTGCCAATTTATGCTACGTGGAAAGGGACTAACATGAGGGATATTTGGTTTCCCTAGAGATATAGCGTGTTCCACAACAACATCGCTCTTCGACGGCAACAGCATGTCAAGTGAGTGATCAGCTCTTTTTAAGCCACTTACCTGCAGTGTTCTGTATTATCAAGGCTAACAAAGAGGTTATGGGGAACAGATCATCCAAGTGGAAAAGAATCAGCCTGGAGCAGAACATTGTATCATTCGAACAGAAGAAACTGCTACTAGACCGCATTGTAGAGGAGACGAATGTCAAGAATCTGAGCGAGTTTATCCGAAAGTATAACGAGCAAGAGCGCACCAAGGCTGAAGTTTTCGCTCGAATCGAGGAACAAACTGCAACGAGTAAGTTTCTTCTGACAGGTATCGAACGAACCTTAATATTGTTCCGTCTGCACTAGATGCTGCTCTCAACGAATCCATTGCTCAGCTAACGGAAGACATGGCGCGTCATACTGGGGCTGGAGAGGTCGACTCAACTAATAATTCGGAGAAACCTTCAGGTATGCTGCCTTATCCCCATTAATATGGCTTGTACATAACTTATATCTTGGGTTTTTAAAGCTGAATTGCAAAAGGTTATCGATGCAAATGAAGTTCACATCAAAAAATGGATAAAGGACGCTGAAATCTACGCTGAAGCGTACGTCAAGCAACTGCAATCCTCGCTTAAATGCTGCTGCTAACTTGATCGACAATTCAGGGTGAAATATCTTCGCGACCCAATTCAGGATGTTTACAAGGAATTCTACCCAAATGACCGTAGTGAAGAGGTTTTCGACAGCACGGTACGTGAGCTTCTCTTTTCGATGTTTTACCCCAGCAACTCGACTCACGAATACTTTAGGCAACAAGAGAAGCATGTATGATGCGCAAGATCGGTGCCATCGAAGAACGCATCATGCAGTTCATAATGGCCAAAATTCTCGAGGAGACTGAGGCCTCCGCAACACCAAATAACAGCGACACGCTACGTCGTTTGCGCCAGTACCAAGGAAGACAGGAGCAACGAGACATTACCATACCATCCAAAGCATGTAGCGTTGAACCCCCCTCCACACTTGCTCGTGGAAACATCCAGCGATCCAAAGACACCGAAGACGAGGAGGTGGACATTGATAGTGCAGTCAAAGACGTCGCAGTCATCCACTCCGAAGTTTTCCGTCGGAAATTTATCGCTGCCTCCCCCGGTGATAACATCACCGGCAATACTGCAACAAATGCCTCAGGGCCCACCTTCATCAGCTCGCCAACACGTAAGAACGCCACAACAGTGCTTAACCTCTAAGCACAAAAAAGCAACATTGAAGTTATCAGATTTCACATGTCACTAAAATCCCCCGCATAATGACTGTCGTCAAGACCAAAGAACTGAAATGGCGGAAAAGCCAGAGGCTCCGATTGACGCCGCGAAAGAAGCCGTTATCTTCATATCTGACGGTACATAATTACATCCGCATCGACTCATTTAACTCTCCAGACTTTCCTCTATCTCGTCGTGCGTTTTCACCTTCTAACTCTCCATATTCACCTCAGACGATCATGACAAGTCCAAGTCCCGCACTAGGCCTCGTCCAGCAGTCTCTACCGGCCTCAGCAGTATCCTCAGCGTCAGTGACAGTGACAGCGACGTCAAACTTGAGGAGATTCTAAGCTCTGTAAGCTCTAACCCGAAGACGAGCAGCTCTAAGAAACCCACCCAGGCGAAGACACCACCACGTCCAGCCCGAGTCACATCCAAGACTCGCGGTCGCTCTATCGCCGACTGTTTCTTCCCTGAGACGACCTCGGATCCAGCTCCCAAGCGTCGTGCAACAGCTACAGCTGCATCGGCCCCTAGAACGCCACCAACGAACCTGTCAGGCGACCTGAAGCCCATCACGCCTTCGTCGACACTAAAGTCGTCTATGAATGCGTCGCTGGTGTTCGATATGGTCACTACACTAAGTACGAACGATCCAGGCGTAGCTATCGCTACGCTTCGTAGCATTGTGGTGCTCGGGAAAGAGTATCCATCAGATTTACTTTATGCTGAGCTCATCGACCGCATCCAGAGCCACGAAGCCATCGCGTACAATGACGCTTTGGCCATCTACGCAGCACTAGTGTTTGTGTTTGACAAGGCGGCGTCATGCAGCTGTGCACTGACATTCCCGAACCAATGGGAGCCGCTCGCGACGGCTCTGCAAGAAGTGAGCGGGAATGGTCGAGTTGGGGACGACGGAGAGCCCAAAAAGGACGAGAGCTGGCGTCGCAACTTGCTGGTGATGCAGTTTTTCATCTACTGCTTCCAGCAAGATTTGTATGCTTGTCGGTCGAGATATGAGCGTCTCGAAGGGAAGTCGTGGGTGTTCCGAACGCGGCTCTTTTCTCTGCTACAGAGCGATAACATCAGTGCGAAAGCACGTGCCAAGTCGCGTGCCAAGGCCACCAAGATGCGTAATAACAACTTCATTTTCCAAGCTATTAGCTGGGGGCTACAGCTGTGGAAGCGTGTGTACGACGAAGACAAGAAGAAGAAAAAGAAAGCCAGCGACGAGAATGAAGACACTAACTTGTTTATTCAACAAGAAGGCGAGCAGGCTTGCTTGGCAGTGGTTCGTCTGATCGAGATGCTGTATCTGTGTACGGATCAGCAAGTTAATGCTCTCCAGCGAATCCAGGCCGGTCTGGGGGACCTGCAGCAGCCCACGCGCGTCAAATTTTCGCAAACTCTACAGTCTCCTGCTCTTCGGACGCAGTTGGCGACAACTATGATCGGGCTGTCCAACAAGTCACGAAGTAAGGAAACGGAGTGGTATGAGTGTAATGCTCTCGGTCGGGTCCAGCTTGCAATGAATCCAGGTATGCTTTATCTACTACTGTATGCTAAAATTGGACACATCCTGACATCTTCGTGCATCAGAATCCAACAGTGACGTGGCGCACACTGACGGCTACTCGTGGTCGCACCTTGACAGCTTTATTAATCAGAAGCCACAAAGCAACCTGACGAAGCTACTCCAAGAGATCTCGCGTATGCAAAACGACTAGATTCGAAGATGTTTATGGTAATCTATACTGCTTTCTTTTTTTTATTTTGGCCAACACGTGAAGGGTGTCCCCATTCTACGAGGACTCAGATTGCTCAGATACGCTTCACCACACAGTACTATTGCCGTTGAAAGCTGCCGACGATCCAAAGAAGTTGTCGTCCGTGTATACAGATACAACCCCGCCGCTGGTTTCATTAATTGACAAAAGAGATCGGTTAGTAGTCCTCTCGTAAAGTCCACAGCTCAGTAGCAGATGGTACGCACTTGTCGGAGACTGCAAGGTACACTCCTCGTTCATAGGAAAAGGAACCACTCGTTTTGAACGAAGGATGTGGCTGGCGGCGATGTCTACAATACATCCAATGTCAGCACATATTTGAGCAAAATATGACGGGATTTACACGTACAGGGTGATTTGCTCCAAGGTGCTGGCTGCCCCATTGAGACTCGCTCTAGAAAACCTGGCAACAACAACACTCCACGTGAAAACTAGCACACGAAGATTCAATCGAACCATCAACTCGTACCCGCCAAGGCCAAGTATCGCAAACTTGTTGGACTTGGAACGTTGAATTTCACCGACGCTTGTCAAATTCGACTCGATCAGCGACGTGCTAAAACGCATAACAAAACATCGTTAGTCTCGTGAATTTAAAGTAAAGCTTGTGCATAACGCACCAAGAAGTTTGTCGTGGCATACGGAGATCAACAAAAGCGATGTGACCTCGCTCAAATCCGAGAGCGACATTAAAGTTGCTCAGGTATTCGTGTGTAAAGAGCCCCCCCAACGTGCCCACATTCTGCTTTACATCCGCACAAGAAGTGAAGTTAGTAGGAAAAATCTTCTACGAATAATTTGAGGATGAGGAAGAGCACTTACCAGGTAGTTGTAAAAAGGCACCTGAAGTTGTGGCGCGGCAATTCGTGTGTCCGCAACTTGGAAGTCTCCTCCATCGGTTGTCCAGCTCACATGGGAATCAGCAGGCGACCAACGAACGCTGCTCACCACGTCAGAGGCGTCAAATTTGCTTATGACCGCTGCTGACTTCGGGTCTCCTTGGTTTCGGAGATCGGTCAAAACCACAGTTTCATCGAAACCTGTAAACACAATCATGTCCGTGAGATCGAAAGTCAAGTACAAAGACACTTTAAATGCTTACCGCCGGACAGCACGTGCGAGTTCGTGGTAGGCGAGACAGCAAGCTCTCGAATAGCATCAGAATGGACCGAGTCGATCGGATCTGCAGTGCATTTTAGGTTCGTAAGTAATCGTTCATTGAATAGTCAGTGGTTTGAAGAAGCGAACCTTGCAGTCTGCAGGATCCACCGATCGAGAGATCCCCCAACTGAATGAGTTGAATCTCTTTGCCGATTGCGACAATGGCGGCCTGTGTCCCCATCCACTGAAGGTCGCGAACCTCCTGCCATAATAAGTAGAGCCATCAGAACACTGCTCGCGTACTCTACATCAGTGGAGTTACACACCTGCTCCACAATAATATGTGCTGGTGGATGTGCGGTGGCGGAAAGGAAATCGGTAATGAAGATCCTGTTCTTGTCGCCAGTTGAATTTGACGGATCTGTGAGCTCTGTGCCCGCGATCAAGCACCCATCCTCGCGAATGATTGGCTTTGACAGCGCTAGAGACAGCATAAAGCGTTAGTCGAAATGTTATAAGTAATGCATAAATGGCTAGACAAATTTCGTACGGAAAGGGCTGCCGTCTTGCCGCGTCTCGAAAGTGATATAGTGACTTGGGCTTGAAAAGGCCGAAAATGGTTGCTGGCTGTGCATCAGCAATGGCAACTGCGGCAATGCCCCTCCGCCAAGCAAGCTATCGATAATAAAATGTTAGAGATCCTTAAACCAGAGAAAAAGGTCGATGAAGATACTCACTCTTCATACAATGGGGGCAGATTAGCCGACGGAACAGGCGAGGGAGTTAAGGTCATGGATGCTGTAGAGGTACTCGTCGATCTAGCCGGTGACATGAATCCCGATGTTGACTCTGCAATCTCTTGGTCGTAGGGCTCACCGTAGCTTTCCAGCTTTATGTGAGATTCGCCGATGATGTCCCACAAGCTATTTTCACTATCACCATCTTCGGCGGGTTGCACATCTAATGGCGTCGGGCTAGTGCTCTCTGCATTCTGATCCAGGCTAGCTGGTGAGGCACCAGTGGACGGCGACGGAGATGTGGAAGGAGACGGCATGACTCGACTCGAACCTGGTTCGCAGCGGGTTTGAAAATGAAGGTGAAGCGAGCATTGTGCTACAAAACTCTCTGCACAAGAAAGTGCGAGCGAACAGATCTCCATCATAAACAATGACAGACCCAATTCTCTGGCGCAGGAGTGAAAGCGGCGGACATTTGTCCAGAAGCCCTTGTCTTGGTCACTTCCATTCATGGCAATGGTAACTTACCATTGGTAATTAAGAAACAAAGTATAGTCTCAGTATATTAAAGGGGGCCTCGTCACACTTTCATTCATCAGTAAATTGATTTGATTGAGTTTTAACCAATCACATCAATTCGCAAGAAGGTTGCAAAACCTCGATCGAAGAGTTGCAGATGGACCTGAACACGGCAACAACTCGCGAGCTGCAGCAACTGCCCGGTGTGGGGTCTGTAACAGCGCGATTAATCATCGAGTCGCGCCCCTTTTCCTGTGTCGAGGACTTACTACGAGTGAAAGGCATCGGTCCCGTCAAATTTGCGGCCATCACAGCTGAAAATCAGATATACGTGGACGAAAAGCCGACCACCATAGCAAGCACTAAGCTCAACATCAAAATCGACCTGAACGCGGCGTCCAAGAGGCAATTGCAGCAATTTAAGGGGGTGGGGCCAGTGCTGGCTCAACGAATCGTTGAAGCTAGGCCGTTCCATCGCAAGGAAGATCTTTTGGCTGTGAAAGGTATTGGTCCAAAATCTTACGTGAAAATTCAAGCTGGAGCACACGTGAGGTCAAGTTCTGACCCATTCGATAGGGGAGAGACTGGTGATGATAACGGTGAAGATAGTGGAGAAGAGAGGGTCAACATTGACGAGACTTTTCATGTTTGTCGGGAGATTGAGAGAGACATTCGTGGAAATATTTTCCCTACCAATATGTTGAACCACAATGATAACAACCGCGCGCTACTTGTGGCGAGTTGGAACATCCGCAACATTTCTCGCCGAAAAGAAATATTCTTACTGGAGCGAATTGCCGACATTCTAAAAGAATTTGACATTGTCGCGCTGCAAGAGGTGAGGGATCTGATAGTGCTGAAGAGACTGAAGACGATGTTACCTGGATGGGACTATGTAGTGTCCGAGCCGGTGGGGCGTATGTCACCGGGAGCGAAGAAGAGGGTTGAACGCTACGCTTTCTTCTACAGACGTTCTGCTGCTCGGCTTGTTGAGAAATGCTGGCTAGTTGAAGGCAGCAGCGACGTGTTTACGAGGTTGCCGTGTGTTGCTACTTTTCGAGCGACGAAAGAGTCAGGAGTGACGGGGCTGGAGCTCGCACTAATAAATGTGCACGTTTCATTCGCTGAAAAAGAGAGCCGTCATGCTGAGATCGCGGAGATTAGTCGACTGGCAAACGAGTTGAGTGCATCAGTGCCGATCAATAGGAAGGTAGTGGTGTTGGGAGACTTCAATTTGTCACCGCAGGACGTGCTGGGAAGCCTCGGATCTCACAAGATGGCGCTCATTCGCTCTCCGCTTTCAACCACAGTGTTCGGTAAGCTCTACGACAACATTTGGCTCGACCGTGCAGACTTCAGTAACTGCAACATCGATAAACCAACGTACTGCGTTGACAGTGGAGTGCTTCGTGTGGATTGGCGATTCTATCCTCCTTCAAAGGGTACATGTAGTCGCCGTTCAGCACAACATCCAATGGACACGATGCTCCCTCGACTTCAGACGTATATGTCGCGCGTTCAATGCGGCTACGAACTCTCGGATCATTGCCCAGTTTGGGTTGCGTTCACTGCAGCCAGCAAGCGCGATGGTACTTCAGCAAAAAGTAATCCAAAGGCTTCAAAGCCATAGCTGGGTTTGTGCTTGAAATAGTGTTGTATGCAGCACTGTAGCTGTCAATCCATCAGAGTGTTGTATCAGGCCTAGCTCTACGAATACAGGAACTCGTCCAGAATACCGGTAGATCACTGCAGAGGTTGTCGAAGTTGATGTCCGAGCAGCTCGCTTTTTCTTTTCAATTGCGTGGCAGCTCACGCTCGACTCAAGCGGCTTGAGTTTCCTCATCACCCAGGGCTCCCACTTCATCAACGGACCTGTCAAGATATCCCTGATTTGTTCTTCGGAGACAAAACCAAGCTGTATTTTATCCATGGTTGGATACTTCGAAGTACATAACTGTAATTTCCGCGTCGAATACAAGCCGTCTCTTCAGCCACAACTTTCTTTGGGTTACTATTTCCTTAGCTTTGAAATGTTAAAGAGCATTCGTAGCTTTAAGTGCTCTGTTTCAAGTTGCTTTTGTGCCTCTCCATACTCCTGGTAAGCTCGTTTAGAATCACTATGTAGACTTTATAATCTTCGTAGCAGTTTCATTTTAGAAGCGTTATGAATTTTGATTCAAGGCGTCGTCTTTTCCAAGTTTCTAAGCTACTACGAACGAGACGGGTGTCATGATAATTTAAGTATTTAAATACCATGAGACTCGTCTCGTTCGTAGTAGCTTGATATGGGTTTATAAACCTTTCAGCATCAATTTTCCCCACCGTGCCAGGTGGGCCGACATTCCAAAGGCACGCGTACGCTCGAATTGAGCACCTGTACATCTCATTCCATTGCTTCACCACTGATGATCGACGATAGAGGATCAGTGCCTCGCCAGGACAGCCAATTCCGGTACCATCGACACAAGTTGGCGGCAATTCAATCAGTCGATCTTTTTCTTTAACGAAAGCTGAGGGCACGGTTCAGATGCGACAATCCAGTCGACTTGCGGTATAGCATTTTCTCGGCGCTGCGCCGGTACTACCACGATGAACGCATTACTCTTTAACCCTTTAGGACCTAAGCCTTAAAGTCCCTGATGGGGCCTCTTACGTAAGCATACGATTGAAGTACATTAGAACGTTTGCCAGTCCCTTCTGTCGTGCCCTGTCTATTTATTTTCCAAGAGTCCCAATTTGGGACCAGAATGATACCACTATATAAATGACCATAAGTCATTGGTAGAAATTGCGAAATACGGTAATCTTATTGGTCACATTTTTGGAGGCCCTGGCAGGGACTCTAAGTCTTAGAGTCCCTGCCAGCGATTGGGTTGTTTGCTGAGGTCGTCTTAGACTAAGACGACCTCAGCAAACAACCCAATCGGCATGTCTCCATCCAACGCCTGCCCCGCGTTTTTTCGCCGCCCATTGTGCGAAAACTGCGAGGCTGGATGCAACAATTTCTGCGAGGTCACTGATCTCATACTCTTTCTTCACTGCCTTCAGTAGTCGTGCCACATTAGCACTATCAGCGCAGTCGACAGAGTTGGCTCAGCCAAGTCACCGGTCTACCTTCTACCACACGTCATTTGACAGTAAAAATCGAGAATGGACCTCTGCGAGGTTTAATTCTCACTTCATTAAGGTGTGTACATGTACGAATTATTACTACTCACGGGTAATTTGTCTGCTGGTCCTTCATATCTCGATCGAGGAACTCGCCTGCTGCGATTTCGGAGCGCATTGTGATCGACACGTCGGACTTGATCACTTGGGTCATACAAAATGGACATACGATCGCCTTCGTCCAGTAGAGTTTGTTGCCGGGGGCAATATCGGCGATTTTGTGCGTAACTCTGCACGACTTGCACACAAATTCCCCGCAGAGCATGCAGTCGTATCCCTTTCGGACTGTTGGTGTCTTCTGACAGACTTTACACTCGTTCGTGCTCGAGATCGACAGCATACCCGAGCCAGCGCCCCTTTTTCTTCGCTCACGAAGAGCCCAGCGCAACTTTTTCATTTGAGCCGCAAAGAATATGTTGATACAAGATTTCGACATGGAAACCAGCACCATGTGCGTGAAGAGACCCCGTGCTCGCTCAAATGGAATGGCAAACACTCCGCGTCCGTGAATCTGTACAGTGTCCTTGTCAATCTGGCGCATGAACAGGATGGCCGCAACTTGGCCTCGGGAATGCGTCGAAAGGGGAGGAGTTAAGTGCGGGAAATCGATGGAATGCAAGAGCTGATAGCTCACACGGTCTCCGTTGTTTAGCGTCGTAAAACCCGTGGCCTCAAGATAGATATGGTCGTAGCTCTTGAGGAACGTACGCATGATCGGCGGGTTCTCCGTCACACGCCAGCGAACAGTCAGTGACGTAAATGGATCGGAGTCTGTCACGTTGTCGATGAGAGCGAGCACGTTGCATTCTTCGATTTTGTCGTCAACGTACGCAGATTTGGTGCGGAAGACTTCTGTGGTGGGACTCATGGCGCCGTAGACTCCATCCTCAATCGTGCCATCTTTGAATCCGACAGAGCGAATGTCCGCGACATCCAGAGACGTCAACTCATCACTCGTGGTGCTGCTCATGCTCGCACTGCTGTCGGATGTGTCGCGACGGAACCGCTTGGTGGCACCGAATCCACGAAGACCGTATTTCTCACGACGACGAAGAAACGTCTCGACCTGTTCGTCACGACGCACGAACTCCCACTGATGTTCTGGGAGCACTGCGTTGTTGTCGAAGAGGAACTCTTCGAACTCTTCCAAATTTACAGCCACTAAGTCCTTCGCAAGCTGCCGTAAGAGGTCTTTTTCCTTTGGGGACAGCTCCATCGGAGGATATGGACTCGTGAAGGGCTCACGAGCCGAGCGATTGCGGAACTCCTTAAACTCCATTGCAAATTGCGACGGCAATTTTAAGTCAAGGACGAGCTCGCAAATGTCGGAATGAGCCCATGCGCGTGGTGGAGGGACAAAGTGAGAGCAGCCTGGCTGTGACCGAGGTTGCACCCGGCATTTGAAATGCCGCATTTCCCGGCCTGTACAGCTGTACATGCATCAACCGCCGGTTGACAACCGGTACACATGTACCTTCATGTATCAACACTGTCAGGTTGACCTCACGTGTCAAGTTTTGGCAATCGTACGCTTGGTGCGCTCAAGGATTTGCATCGTCTTCAATTCAAAATACAAGACGATCTCGCTTCAGGACCTGTCTGTGCCAATGATAAGAACGGGACTCAAAGGGGTCGTACAATGTACGGTACATGTAGAGAAGCGGCATCACGACACTATCAACGACCAATGCGAACTGAAACCTTGACATCTGGAAACTTTCGTCCGCTGCCTGTACATGTATAAAACTTCAGTTTTTACAACGGCGATGTTCATACAAACTATTAATATGTGGATACGGTCAATAATGCAGTGTGGGAGGAGAACGATAAGTTGAGCCTCGGTGGTATCCATGGGATGGAAAGGCCGAGCTTATCCTTCAACGTTCGATTTCTGCCAGGTGTGAGCAGAGAATCAAGAGAACCGCGTTCCGGGCACACCGGGAAGCAAGGCCTACCAGCTGCGTGCTGTTGCAGCGGGCCCCAAAACGTCGGTTATAGCAACACAAGCACTGATGACATGGCTTGGTGTGCAGGAGGATCCGCTCACAACCAAACTTCTACTTCAGTATTTCGTAAGAAAAAAATCCTCAAAATTAGTGTAAAACCTATGAGCGAAAAATACTTTTCACCAATGGGCAATTGGGACCTCTCACGAATTCCGTCGCTGGGCCGGCAAAGTGGCGGTCGTGACAGGCAGCAACTCTGGGATCGGCTTCTCTACAGCTCTGGAGCTGGCTCGCAAGGGGGCGCACGTGGTGCTCGCTTGCCGCAATGCAGAGCGCGCGCAGGCGGCTGTACGCGCGATTAAAGCGGAACTGGAACCTGACCCGTCACCTTGGAATTTCTGCTGCTGGATTTGAGCGACCTAGCAGCGTCCCGGCCTTCGCCGATACTTTCCGAGCCAAGTTCGACCGACTGGACTTGTTGGTTAACAACGGGGGCATCTTAGCGCCCATCCAACCCACACACCCGATGGACTCGAGATGCAGTTCGCCGTGAACCACTTGGGTCATTTTTATCTGACCCATTTACTCTTCGATCTCCTTAAAAGTGGAAACGAAGTATCACGAATCGTGAATGTGAGCAGCTTGTCGCACCGTTGGGTGAAGATGAATTTGAGGACATTAGCCAGGTCCAAAACCAACAAAAAGCTTTACGCTAAAGAATATGGCACATCCAAGCTGGCCAACATGCTCTTCACGTTCGAGCTCTAGCGACGTATTGCAGAAGCAGGGTTGACAGACCGGGTGATTGTCGTGGCAGCTCACCCGGGCATCACCTCGTCGGACATTGCACCCAAGCTGCTCGCCACCTACCTGCCGTCTTGGTTGTTGGGCTTCATCGTTAAGCTGGCAGACATGCTTCATATCATGCAAGCTACTGAACGTGGAGCGCTTCCATCGCTCTTCGCTGCGACGGATGCATCTGTGATAAGTGGAGACTTCTTCGGTCCTGATGGGTTCCTGGAGATTAGAGACAAAGGCCCAGCCAAAGCCAAAGCCAGCGCTGCTAGTCATTCTAAACACGACGGTGCTGCACTCTGGGCGATGAGTGAAGACCTCACAAACTGTACATTCAACGTCACGCCATTAAAAAATAGAAGGCAATAGGCGATGATGCAAAGACAACCTGACTAACTTCAACTTGGGTGTTAATGAAACCAAGTGATTGTGATTAATACTTCTGCTTAGCCGCGGTCTGAAAGAACAACTTGGCGTCTGCTACTTCCTGCTCCAGGTCTTCCTCCCAGATCCAGCGCATACGTTTCTGTAGGTTCTTCGCGATTTTCTTCACGTCGTCCTCGTAGCCAGGCAGCTCGAAGTCGTACAACTTGCCAGCCTCGTGGCACGTGGCCACAACCTTTTACGTACGATACAGACGCACCTTCTCGAATGCCTCGAAGGCTCCCTTCAGGTCGGACGCGTGGTGCACGTCAGCCAACAGTGATGCCAGTACGTACGCGTCTTCAATGGCCATCGCTGCACCCGATCCATGGTTCGGCGTTGTGGCGTGAGCTGCATCGCCAATGACAAGCATGCGTTTGCGCGTGTAGGTGCGAGCAGGAAGGTGATGAAATAATGCCCAGATATCAGTATTCTCCATCATTGAGATGATGCCACGAACATGCTTGGAGAAGCCCACAAAGTCCTTGGTTAGGTCCTCTTTGGTGGTGCCTACGACCCAGTTCGGGTCTTTCCATTCCTCCTTGCTGGCAAACGCCACCACGTTCATGACGTCGCCATGTTGGATGGGGAACGTCAGCACGTGGCCATGGTATCCAAAGTACATTTGGCTGTTGCGAGCCATCTCGTCGCCCAGTAATGCGGCGGCCTTGTCCATCGGGATAAGTCCACGGTAGACGTATTTACCAGAGAAGACGGCGTTGGCGGCCGGGTCATCTCACCAAGGATCACCTTGCGTGTTCGCGACTTGATGCCATCGCATCCGATCACGGCGCTGTGCACAGCTTCTGTTCCGTCGGTAAACTTGAGCTTGACGTCACCGTCGGGGAGCGTCTCGATGTCTTGAAGACGCTTGTCAAACTTGGCTACCCCCTCCAGAATGAGCTTGACCATTTCGTCGAGGAAGTGAGCACGGTGGACGTAAGCCGATCCTGCAGGTGTCTCGACACTAGTAATCAGTTTACCGGCTCCGTCGTCGACGTTGTTGCCTCGGGTGCCGACACCTTTGCGGAAATCGAACCATACATTCTTCTTGACCGTTAAGAGATTGAACGTCCCGACGCGATCGAAGCCGCGTTTGATGTCTGGAGCTAGTAGTTCCATTGCTCGAGCGGCATTGGCGGCGAGAGCGACACCGGCGCCGATTTCCCCGAACGCCTTGGCCGATTCGTACAGAGTGACGGGGACGTTGGCACGCACCAGGCCAATGGCGAGGGTGATGCCGGCAATGCCGCCACCGATGATAGCGATGTCGTAGTCGCGGGACAAGCTCTGAACCATTATAATGAAGAGTCAGGAGACTTTGGAAGTGCTGTGTGGCTTGGAATTGTTGGGGCCCAGGCAAATGTGATACAGAAATCTGCCTGAATAAGGAACGGGGTTTCAACTAATAACCTCGCATTTTTTATAGTCGGGAAAGATTTAGGGAGATGGGATAGTGATGGGCAAGGTACTGACAAAACAAACAATCCAGGCACTGACTTTGATTTCAATTAAAAAAAGGCACTCCCAGCTGGAAAATATGAGACGAGACATTTGCTACCAAACGATGCCCAACCGACCTTATTGCAACCATGAGATGACCATCTCGCACCCAAATTCGACACGAATGGTAACCAACTAAAAGAGCTAGCCTCGCGTTGTATACACATCTCCGGATATAGAGTTTTTAAGTAAGAGAGCCAGACCACTTGAGATGCGCGCCGAGGCAGTTTCTGCGGAGGACCCAGCGCAAGACTGTCATGTCGTTGTTGTACTGTATTTAGCTAGCATGTCCAACCACAGCAAAAAATAGCAAGAAAATCGCTATCTTCCAGACGTAGCAACACAGAGCTGGCGAGCATATAAAGAAGAACTACATTGAGATTGTTCGCTACATCTTCGAATCCGGTAGATCTCGCTACAACTAGAAACATAAGCGCAGGTAGCGGTATCTCATGCACTGCAACGTCTTCTTGTCGAGAAGCCCGACTTGATCGGCACCACAAAAGTTTTCGAACGCAATAAGAACGTAAATACCGCAGTTGTAGCTGTCTGTCTGGACTCCTAGTCCCGATTCGAAATTGCGCACACGAATGCCATGTCCAACAGTCGTCGGAAGAAGCGCTATTATCTTCTGAGCCACGGATCGAACGCTAACAAGATACGACGATGCGCTGCTATCGTAGATGTAGGCTTCAAAGATAAAAAGATTGATGCGCTGCTATCGTAGATGTAGGCTTCAAAGATAAAAAGATTCAAAGATAAAAGATTCGCACTATTTCATTCGGCCTTATCAGGGGCTTGCTGGCAGGTAGCTGAGAAATCTCGTGAGCAATAGGGGGCTTTACCTTGGTAAAATGTTAAGAGCTTGAACTGCATGAATTTGTCAGCAGTAGACACGTAGCTCGCATCTCCGACAAGGATTTCATCAAGTGTACCGAGATTCATCTTTTTACTGGTCATCTCCATGTCTTCTTGTACCAGCGTCGTTATTAGCTTCCGTTTGGCCTTGACAGCTTTCGGTTTTTGCTTGGGGCGCCCATTTGACTTTGGCGAACTTTGAAGCTCGAGCTCGACGTTATCATCATCGATGTCGATGGGGCGTTGGTGTCCACCAATAACTGGTGATCCGGTACGTATACTTAAATGATCAGATCCAGCAGCGCTTGGTAACCCAAGATCCGGCCTCCTTTGCGTGCCCACGCGGGTCTCTGTGCCCAACTCAGTCACTAGTTGGGTCTCTGTGCCCACCTCGTTGTCCACGCGGGTCTCTGTGCCCAACCCAGTCACTAGTTGGATTTCGGTGCCCAAATGATTGCCCAAATTAACGCTAATAAATCCCATCTGAGTACCAACTCACGCTAATAAATCCCATCTGAGTACCAGCTCAACCCAATCACATACCTGAGCTTCACAGTCAAGTGCCCTCGACTCCTGGCGTTTTATTTTTCCTTGGCCTCGCGATTTGTACTTGCCTGCGTGGGTACACACTATCGTCTTGCTGTAGTGTACCCAACTTTCTGGGATCAACGGAGCCGAGCTGCCCGCCGCCTTAATTTTGCTGTTCCGACGGGTAACCGTGTTATTTGTGCGGACACGGAAGGTAGAGCGTAGCGGGAGAATGACAACATTGCAACGATGTCTGATACTCAAATGAAAAGCTATACATACCTTGTAATGGGCCCCTCCATTACATAAGTAGGTAGATTTCTTTACAAAAGTAGGTGCATCAGCACACGACTAGCGTGTGCTGAAATGCTGTCATGCCATTGGCTGATATATGGGGAGCCAGACCCATTATTAGCCAATTGGACTATGACGTGTATTTGAGTGGCCAGGGCTGTGGCCTTGGTCCTAAAATAAAGTCAGAGTTGATTTTTCCTTAAACCTAAGACTCAGTCGTCCTATTGCGAGCTTCCTCAACACTATAGTGTAAGCAAGTAACGGAGTATATACCTGGCACGTTAAACCTGACAGTACTTCGAAGACCTTCCAACGACCAAGTTCGACATGAGCCAAGACCTCGACCACGCTGCCTTTCTCCATCTCACTCGAATCGAGTGGGAAGCTCTCCACCGCCTTGCGGCGGTGTCCGGAGAAGCCGTCGTCACGTCGCTGCTGCGCTCAGCGACGCCCGACGAGCAGCGCGTTGCGGCACAAGAATTCATGGAACGCGAGCTCGCCGATGCGAATCGGCGAGTGTCAACTCCCTCGCGTATCTCCACGAATGACGTCGTGAAGCTAGAGACGTCCACCTACTCCGGTGCCGGAGGAGATCGACTTCCGCTGAATCGCTGGTTTCGAGAGATCGACATCGCCATCGCCTCGAGGTTGATCGAGGCGCCTTCCGCGAAGGTCCGTTTCCTCCTCTCGCGGCTGTCTGGGAAAGCCAAGGAATGGGCTCTCGGCAAGTTGGTTGTCGATCCCAACGTCTTCCCCACTCTGGATACCCTCCAGAGTGACCTTCGGCTCGCGTTCGAGCTGCCGCAAGATGAATCCCGAATTCGGGCAGACTTCTTCGCCCTTCGGCAAGGCACGATGACTATGCGCGACTACGTCCAGAAGACACGACACCTCGCGTCGTGCATCGTGTCTAAGCCGATCGATATGGCCTCTCAGGTTCATGTATTCGTGTTCGGTATGCGCGAAGGCATGACGCGCTACTGCCTTACAAGATCGGACCCCTCTACGCTCGAAGAGGCATTCGCCCTCGCCCTACGCGAGGACTACGTGGTTGCGGCGTCATACGCTCACGCGCTACCTGCTTCTGCTCGGGATTCTGCGCCCGAGCCCATGGACATCGACGCTATCGATGCGACGAGCAATCGTCAGCGTTATGCAGCGCGTCGGAGCGGTGCTCGGAACAATCGTTCTCTCACCTGCTTCCGCTGTCGGAAGGTCGGTCATCGCGCGGCGGAGTGCCGGGCGCCAGCTCCAGTGCTTGCGCATGTCGATGCCGAGCCCGTGAGTTCTGACCAGCCAAAAAACGGTCAGGGTCAGTAGGTGCGGGGCGCCCTACTGGCTGGAATGGAGGTCCGGGTCCCCCGGTGGCAACCCAACCTCCTAGCCCTCCTGTGCTGCATGCACACTTTCATGCCACCACCACGCCGAGCGATTCAAGATTGATCATCGCCAGTCTTCATGTCGCCGGTGCCCGGCGACCACTGCGAGCGCTCCTTGATTCAGGAGCGACCAACAACTTCTTCCGCGCGTCGTGCTTGTCGGTACTCCCGTCGGACATCACTGTCCGCAAAGGTAGTGGGGAGGTCGCTGTCAAGTTGGCCGATGGGAAATCACGCCGCGTAGCGCGGCGCGAGATTACCCTTCCGTACACGTTCGACGGTTTCCGAAGCAACGACGACTTCCTCGTCATTGAGATGAATTACGCGTTTGACTGCATCCTGGGTATGCCGTGGCTGACGCGCTATCAACCAGAGATTGACTGGTTGGCCCGGTCGGTCAAGCGCCGCAGTGATTATGATGTGAGCGAGGTGTTCACGCACCTCCTGGTCGCCCAGAAGGATTGGCCTCACGTCACCGTCGTGAACCGGTCATCCACGACGCACGTTGTGCACAGAGTGAGCGATGGCCCTCTCTGCACGGCTTGCGCAGTGCTGTTAACTGACGAGTCCCCGCGGCGCCGCGGGGATGAAGACCAACTGGTGGTCGAGCAGGGGCTCCCGCAGATGTACGAGACGGCGGTCGAGCAGGGGCTCCCGCAGACGAATGAGATGGCGGTCGAGCAGAAGCTCCCGCAGACGAACGAGATGGCGGTCGAGCAGGGGCTCCCGCAGACGAACGAGATGGCGGTCGAGCAGGGGCTCCCGTCAATTGAGCCGGTGGTCGAGCAGTTGGCGCTCCCGCTGAACACTACCGCGGTCGAGCAGGGGCTCCCGCTAGAGGGGGGTGACATCTCGTCCAGCGAGAGCGACTCATCATCCTCGAGTTCGCACTCGAGGCGGCGAAAGAGGAAGTCGAAGCGGCGTCGGCTGAAACCTCGCCGAGAGCCCGTACCAAGTGACAGCTCACCGACGGAGTCGGTCTGCGTGCTTGAGTATGTGGAAGGTACCTCTGGCCGCCGACGAACACTCGAGCTTGCAAACCCGCCTGGCGAGGCAGGGTCGATCACTCGACTTTCAGGTCTCTCCTGGAAGAACTTCCTTCGCGGCCTCAAGGACGATGAAATCGAACAGGTTTGCCTGATCACCGACGCCGATTCGGCGTCGCTCGAAGTGAATGCAGTCAGTGACGGCGACGCTCCCTCGCGCCCAAAGAGCGCTGAGCCGAAGTCGGCCCGCGAGGAGCGCTTCGCAGCGCAGTCTTGGGACGCGCTACGCGAATCCGGCAATCCAGTCTACGAGACCGCCCGCGAATATGAAGATGTATTTCCGGATAAGATCCCAGCTGAGTTGCCAGCTGACCGAGGAATTCGCCACGAGATTGATCTCGTGCCCGGCTCGAAGTATTGTGTGACGCGGCAGTGGCCGCTCCCGCGAGATCAGGTCCAAGCTATCGATGACTTCTTCGAGAGCCGCCGCAAGGCGGGTCATGTGCGTGAGAGCACATCGCCGCACTCCAGTCCGACCTTCTGTGTGAAGAAAGCCACGGGCGGATGGCGCATCGTCCATGTCTTCAACAAGCTAAACGACGCTACCATCCCTGCCCAGACGCCGATTCCTCGGAAGGACATGGTGCTCGACGCAATGTCGGGTAGTGAGGTCTTCAGCGCCATCGACTTGACCGATGGGTTCTACCAAATCCTCATGAGGCTGAGCAATATACCGCTCACAGCGGTAAGCACTCCCAGTGGTATG